GTGTGTGAGTGACAGAGCAGATTTATGAACAAAAAGCTCAAAAGTGTGACTGCATCCTTCACTGTTTTCTGTTACTCCAGTTCTCTGTTTCTGTCTTTCTGACGAACTGCAAACACACAAATGAATTCTCCACCCCCTCACATTGCCTCAAACCCAGCTGTGCCCCCATCCCTTCCTGCCCACACACACACACACACACATACACACGCACGCACACACACGCAATGTCTCTCCGTTTGACTTCATTTCTTCTTCATTCTTTCTTTTCCTCTCTCGTTGTTAGTTTATCGTTCATTTCCTTGTTTCATTAAGTTAAACCCTCAATCCTGTGTTTTTAAATGTATTTTGTTGACAGGGTATTTGAATAATCAATAACTAGTTATTTTTGTTGTTTCACAGTGGTTATGTTTATGAGACCTTACAAATGAACTCAAAAAGAGAAAAATTATCAAGAAAAATAAATGGTTTACACTAAAGTAAATAACGGTAAACCAGTAATAATAGCTCTCTGCTGACCTTTCACAAAAACAAACAATTTTAATTCACACAAATTAATCTTATGGCCTTTTAACCTCATTGTGTTACTATATTATACCTTTTTAATGGACTTTTTCTTTAGCCATAAGCACCCTGAAGTAACCCTAACTACACAATATCGGCTCCTGCGCTACTCGCAGTGCACACACCTGGATTTTACTCGTCTACAGTCTCAACACACTCTAGTTTCTACAGAGTTTTAACTGGAAAACTCAATTTACACCTAAAAATCTGTTCATTTTCATCCACTTTTCTCAGAGCTCTCCTAGTCGCTGCTGCTTACTCACCCTCTTTGCTCAACCACCTGCTCCTCGCTAGCTCCCGCCCCGCAGCCAATCACAACACAGCAAACCGACACGCTGTTGCATTGATGCGTGATGTAGACAGGTCCTGGAAGATAGCCACGTCTTTGCCTGTGTTTGCAATAGAGGCGGCACAATTAATTCAAATTTAATCGAAATCACAATATGACCAAGTGCAATATCTAAATCAAAGAAGCTGCAGTTTTTCTGATAAAGGTAAAATGTGTGACAACAGCATTATAATAAAGTACTCTAGTGTTGAAGAGATGCTTTGCCTACAAATGTTGTTCTCCAGTTGTAAGAAGACATGTTGTTTTTTGGTACAGACCCCAATGAAATTTTTTTTTTTTAAGTTTGCGTTAATGAAAGGTTAACACGTTTTGAAACTGATAAGCAGAACGAAAATAATTTTTTTGTATGAGTAGCCAATTCTAGGCATTTTGGATATGGTTAAATTTGGAACCATATTTCGGTTTCCAACCCTCCCCGCTGTCATCTTCTTCTTTTTTCTCCTTGCATTTCCCTTTTTCAGTCACCGTCCTCACAGTTTGTCTGTTCATTTGCATTACATAGTGCTACAAATGGACAGAGTTCAACCTGTTTACCGTCTTCACACCGAGCGTAATGTACATGTAGGTCGTCCAGGTGTCCACTCATGGTCCTCACTGACACAAATAAACACACACACATAAACAAACACAAACACTCTGTTGCTTAACTACTAATAACCTGTGGAAAGTGCAGTCAGCCGCCACAGTGCCTCATGAAAATGTAACGAGAATGTGAATAATTAAGATTAAACCAGAGCGAAACGTCACACTGTGTGTGTGTGTGTGTGTGTGTGTGCGCGCGCGGGGTTTGTTCTCTTTTCATTTGAAATATCGGTTGCTGAAACCTGTGTCAATGTTTTTCGTAATCATGTACTCCAGTTTGGTGGTGATGTGGAACGGAACTGATGTCTTAATTAAATATTTTGGTTAATACTGCAAGTCATTGCACAGTGGAAGTGGTTTAAATCAGCAGTGTGCTAGATTTTTATGTTAAAAAAAACATCAGTGATAAGAGGATAAACCACATAGCCGGGTTACAGTATAGAGCATTGACCTGTTCTATTTATATAAATGGAGTTCTGATGTCCGTGTATTCGTCTGTAGGAAGTGAACTGATCAAAATTTAAAGGCATGGATTGTACTGTATTTTTTCCATCTGGTCCAGAGTGAGACACATTCATGGATGTGTTTCTTCTGACTGTGTGCAGTTTAAGTCTAATTCTGTGCTTATTCGTACTTTTTTCTAAGCCTGCGGCAATAAATCATTTTCGTTATCGTTTGATTTGCAGATTATTTTCTCGATTTTAGAGTTTAGTAGTTTTAGTAGTTTTCTTGATTTAATAATACAAACAACTGTCCAAAACCAAAATAAATTCAGTTTGTTCTCATTAAAGAAGAAGAAAACTAGCAACATATTCACATTTGAGAAGCTAGAATCAGTGAATGTTTGGCATATTTCACACATAATTGATAAGTCCAAGATGATGTGTTCAAATTGTTTTTTTTGTTTAAACAAAAACCAAAAATATTTAATTTACGAACATATAAAACAGACAAGCACCAAATCCTTACTATTTGGAAGCTGGAACAAGGAAATGTTCAGTGTTTCTGCTGTGGCTGTTTGCACATGTAAACAAGAAGTGAATTGGAGAACTAATAATATATTAAATTGATAGTAAATGATATGCTGTGCGTGATTCAAAAGTTGCAAAGTAGTTCCCACTATTCAAATGTTATTACTGATTCCTTTTCATCTATACCTGTTCTTTTGAGCAGTGCTGTAGTCAAGACCACCTTTGTCCAAGTCCGAGAGTCCAAATGAGAGACACAGAGTCGAGGCCTAGACAGAAGAAAATAATGCTTTTGCAATTGCCAAGGAGATAGAGATTCAAGATGAATAGAGTAAACTTTATTGTCCCAGAGGGGAAAATCAGCTCACACGCACAAAAACATCACAAAGTCAACAGGAAAGAAACTTTTGAAGAGAGTTTTGGCAGCCAGGCGTACGATTGCAAGTGACATTGATTGCTAACCATGGTTACCAGGCAGCCAATGTCAATGCCTGTTTTAGATGGATTTTAAAAAATTGAATACCAATACCAATCATTTTCTGAACAAGCGTGCTTCATCTGTGGGGAAGTATAACATATGTATGCAATGTATGTTTTTCTGCACTGAGCTGAGACCAACTTGAATGTCTAGTGAGACCAAAGGCAAAGTCTGAGTGCAAACACCAAAGAGTCCGAGACAACAGAAATAAAGCCTCGGAGACCTTACTCGAGTACTACAGCACTGCTTTTGACAGACATAGATTGTCGTAAATGGAGCAATACTATACTTTGTCCCATGCATTCTCCAAAAAACCTGACTGGACCAATTAATTGGTCGATTATCTGCCATATCAGCTGATATCTGTACTCACGAGGCCAACGTTAGCATTCTCCCCTTGGAGAGAGAGATTGGGAATTGAGATTGGGAATTGTGGTGAAAGAGTTGGTTTTGAGCTCTTATGCATCCTGGTGTAAACATAGTCCTTCTTATATAATAGAAAATAATGACATAGATTCCTTGTTTTGATATTGGCATTATGTATCAGCTATTGGCAGCCCCGGTCTCTAAATATAATATTATATCAGTCCACCACTAATCCTTTTTGTGTGTGTATGTGTGTTTCTGTCTTAACCACCAGAAAGTCAACATTCATCCAAAGCCTAACCCTTTTTTTTATTTGTTTGCCTATTTAGTTTCCTTAGAAAAGGGGGTTGGGATCAGAAACCATGTGTTTGTATTGGGCAGAAAGCATGCAGGATATTTATTTTATTTATTTACTTCAAGCAGTCAAATCAAAGTGCAGAGCCTGCTGCCATTTAGAGCTGCCTCTGTGGGAAGTTTCCTGTGGCACCTTTTAATGTGTATGTGATTATGAAATATCCCACCATGCTTTGGTTGAATATAAAACCATCTAAACTGATGCAATAAAACTAAATATAGATGTCGACAGCAAGGAAGGAGCAAACGGGATCTGCTGAAATACGAGTAGCCTATTGTGCAATGACTAAATGCCACATAATTGACATATTGATTCATCTCTTTGTTGCTACTGTGTTGCCTTATTTGGCATCACAAGGAAGCCTGAGTTGACATACATTTTTTGTCTTCTCTCCTTTCACAGTGTGCTGTTTTGTGGTCCATAAGCGCTGTCATGAATTTGTCACCTTTTCCTGTCCGGGGGCCGACAAGGGACCCGCCTCCGACGTAAGTAAAAGAAGAGAAGCACGCACACACACATCTGGAAAAGATCTACACAACTAGCTTTATTTAATTTGCTGTAATTAAAAGGGAATCCACAGTGAAGCAGATCACTCGGCTCCATGTGTTTTAGGTTAACTGTTTATTATGCACATGGTTAGTGATTGTTTTTGCTTGTTTAGCAAGGTCAGCACTGGCTGTAGGTGTTTGTGTACTTCCATGTAGTTCCTGTATTTGCTGCTGCTAGATGAACGAACACACACACACACACACACACACAATGTAACCTCTTGTCCTCTCTCCTGCTGAGCTGTCAGCCCCAAATCACATTGAGACATGTCAGTAAAAAGAGAATGTGCTGCCTGGCTGCCTCAGGTTAATGAGCCAGTATCTCTCTTTCATGTACACACACACACACACACACACAAACACACACAATTTGTGAGTCAGCATGGATTTTGAAGTCATGTGACTGATGTTTATTAATCTGTAACTCCTCTGTTTTTTCTTTGTTTTTGTTATATCACGAAAGCTGTTCTGTTGTTTTTCCCTCTTTTTGAGCATCCTCCAAACTCTCTCAATCAGTACTCCATTTTCTGTCTCACTGTCAGTATTTTTACTTTTGCTATCTGTCATAATGGAGCAATAGTTAAAGGATCAGTTCACCCAAATAGGAGGAAAATATAAATTAAGTTCACCTCTAGTGTATTGATGTGGTAGAACAGGACAGATCTACTTTTAATCTCAGGGAGTTTTTCATGGTTTAAGCTCTAGGCCTCTTTGTTACAATTAAGGGGAAATCATCACGATGCACAACAAGATATTTTGGACTATAGAGATGTATATACTTTGTGGCAACAGTTTGGGGAAGATTTTTTCGATGGGTCTGTGCACAAAACAAGGTCCAGAATGAAGTGGTTTTCCCAGTTGGTGTGAAAGATCTTGACTGGCCTGCACTGAGGAAGGCCTGTCACATGAGCCTCTAGCTGAATGGGAGGAAATCCCTGCAGCCTGCGATATATGGTTTTATTCTGGTTGTAGTAACATTATATTTCACTTGCTTTAAGAGTAAGATGTTCAATAATCACATGTGGCTGTTCTGCTGTTCACTAAGGCTGCCCCCTCCACTACAGATACTCCTCGTCAATCAGTAGTTAATTAAAGTTAGTAGTTGACTAGTCGTTGCATGTTTATGATATTAATTTCATTATTTAAATACACGTTTATCTATTTTTTAACAGCTGCCTGTTAAATACTAACAGCAAGCATGGTAATGACTGTGAATGTGTCAGAACAACGAGCAAGGAGACTTAACATTTAGTTAATTTATTTCAACGTCTCACAAATTGTGCTGTTCAAAACATGGAATAAATAAGTTCCAGCTTCACAAAAACAAATACTTGCAGACTTATCAATACCATGGATGATGTGTAACTTTAACAGTTTAACTGGATTACCTAAATATTGAATTCAAGTGTCTTCTCTTTCTCTCCTCTCTGTGTTTCTGTCTCTGCAGGATCCTCGTAGTAAACACAAGTTTAAGGTCCACACCTACTCTAGCCCGACCTTCTGTGACCACTGTGGCTCCCTCCTCTACGGGCTGATACACCAGGGCATGAAATGTGACCGTACGTACACAAATGTGTGTGTGTGTGTGAGATCAGATAACACAGTTTGAGTGTGTGACATAAATGAACCCTTGTTCTTACATGTTGACAAACCTTTTATAGATGTAGAATTTTAAATAGGTCATACTGTGCTCATTTTCGCATAATATGGCCTCTTTTATATAGTCTTATATACTGATTTGCCTTTGGACGACATGTGAAGTTTGTCTACATTAATCAGTCAAAAGCACGTTTTTGTTTTTGCTTATTTTAAACTTCATCCAAACATCACTATATAGTATGTGAAAGTGTCTTTGTGATGCTTTAAATTTCAGAAAACTTCATACTTTCACTTTCAGGTGTCTGGGCCATGGGTCAGAAAACAAAGAAATGGCTTCTTAAAATTAAATCTGACTAAAATAATTATACGTTTTATTACTTTTTATAGCGTTCATAATCCACATTTTGCTTGTCGTTGATAATCACGATCTCTGAATTTAGATTGCATACATTATTTACAGTCATCGACCTGCTTATGAGTCATAATGAGACAGTTGAATATATATTATCGGCTTAATGACTGACAATTTGGAGAGATATTATCAGCTTCTCATAACAATGAGTGAAGCGTTTTTACATTCATGCTGCTGTGTCATATGTATGCTGACCATTTGCCTGTCGTTGGAAACAAAGACACAAACAGGAAGTGGGCTATATCTCTGCAATGCTGTCTCCAGCCATGACAAATATCATTTAGCGGGTAGACAGTTCCTCATTGTACTTGTGTGCAGCGCACAGTGTTTAATGGGCTCTGACTCGGCCTTTGCAGCAGTTTTTATACATTTATATTTACTCATCAGATGTATGTAAAAAGTCACATTAAAGGGGGGATGGTTGGTGTTTCTCCTGAAAATATTGGACAACACAAAGGTGTTGTCAGATTATATATTAATCCTCATAAACAAATACAGATAAACAAATACAGCGAGAGGAAGCTCTGTGTTTCTTGCAAATTTTATTCATATTAACAAATGATGTTTTTTTTTAGACTACACAAGAAATAATGGAAATGTAGACATGTCCCTGAAATCCACTTGCCTAGGTCAAATTATGAACTTTATATCCTATTATACAGAATATGAGGACAATTGGGGATAAGAATGATTTGGTCAGTATTTGGCACTAGTTAAATTTCAACTTGGAAAAGCAATAATGAACTTCTGTCAAACACCGATACTTGTGTTTTTAAGTTTCTCAGTTGTAGGAAGCAAGACCACATTGACCTTCTCGCCTGTTCTTTAAAAGTCTTACTTTCTGTATTATGAGCTTTGTACTAGAAGGACTTAAAACAAGGTAACAAGGCTCTTAAAACACAAACGAGGGATTAAGATATTTTAGATTTGCTACCATGAAGAGATGTGGTGTTCTGCACTTGTTTTAATAGAAAGTGTAGCTGAGTGGATCCAGATATTAGCTTGTTGCACATGTTTAGCACACTGCTGATGGAGATAGGAAATAAATTCATCAAAAGAAGTTATCATGGAATGTAAAACATACAGGCAGCAAAAGATTACCTTCTCCCTCTGCACCGCTGCACCACCTCCAGTGAGCCGAGTAAAATGTGGAGCATTGTGCATCAGAGCAGTCTGCCACTTAGTGGACAGAGTGAGAAATTACATCAAGAGTGCTTGAGTATTGTTTTTAGTGTTCATCGGTTTTTATGTTTGCCTTTGTATTCAATGCAAATGAATCTAAAACAATCCAAAAGTAAAGTAGTTTAGTAAAATTGTATTGCTATAATTAGTCAGTAAAGTCACAGTATTGTAGAATTTTGTACAAAATTCATTTATTTACTGTTTTAGTTAAATCCAAATTTAAAATTCAAATTTCACTACAAGGTATGAACAAATACATAAACCGTGTGCCAGTTAGGGCCAGTGTAGAATACAAGATTTGTTGCCCCAGTTTACCTGTTACAGACACATTTCTTAGGTCTGAGACAAAAACCCTCGAGTGGGCACGGCATTCGCAACCTGTCACATCACAACGGGTCCTCTAGTGTGAGCGCTCCCGAAACGGATCCCGACCATGTCACAAGTTGCCCGAGAGGCTGCGTAAATTTTGAAACATGTTTTGATTTAATCTTAGCCAAAAATAAGATGCACTTGTAGCAGATTGGGACACTGAAAAAGAGTTTGACTAAAAGTCTGAGTAGTAAAGGTCAGTTTATCAGCATAAGCAAAAAATGGTCCCCATGTCTTCTTAAAATTGTTATCCTCATTTTTTTAATGTTAACAAAGTGGAAGATATCTCTAATCCAAGAATGACGAGTTGGTGGAGCGGGAGATTTTTCACATGATAAGAATCAGGCGCCGAGCCATGAGAGTTACAAAAGCTATAAAGTTCTTCATATAATTCGATATCGCAGGCGTGAGGGTGGCTCAGAATAAAGCGGTGATTGCAGATGGTTTGACAGGCATGGATATAATTTCCAACCAGAAGTTATGCATAAAGGG